TGAGTCGTTCAACGAAACCCCGAGGCAAGATTTCCAACCCATTATTTTATTTTATTTAGATTATTGTAAAAATCATTAGGTGTAAGATTCTATTTCTTATTTAGTTTCATATCAATTATTATATTTGTCGTAAATTAATTATGTGCAAGATCCCCGCTCCGTTATTTTATTTCGTACAATTTTTAGATCTGTCAATAATTATTTGCGTGAGTTTGATGAATGATATTAATGAATAGTAATTATGTTATAAATAGTATTTTTAGAACAAATATAATAAATTAAAGAATTTATTTTAGGTAACAAGATTATTTTAGTATAATTATAATATTTTTTAGAATTTATGTTGTGGAAGGAAATTATTTTAGAATGATAAATATTTTAAAAAATAATTTATTTTGGGAAATAGATTATTTTGAATTAATAGGAATTTATCTTGTAAAAAATATTATTTTTGACTTATGCATTTATTATTTAGAAAGATTATTTTTAGAATAATTATGGTGAAAGATAATTTGAAAGGAATTTATTTTGCAAAAGAATTATTTATTTTGAATTAATTTAGTTTATGAACGTGTGATGGATGGTTTTTGACCGCGACATTTTATGTGCAAAATAATCACCGATTCCATGATTCTTATTTTAATTACGTGACATGCCATGATTTCTTACATATAATTAGATGCATTTATTATTCCTTGTTGTGTTTGAGAACCACTAGTAGTTCATGACTTAGTGGCTTTGTGCATCATGAACAAGACTTAGTGACATGTGTGTGCATTGACTGAATTTAGAAGGTAGACCAGAGATCTAGTTCAGGTTATGATTGTTGACTTAGAAAAGCGAGAAGAGTTGGGATGGGGAAGTCTTGGTGCATGTGATCGGATGTGGCTGTTATGTAACATCCAGGCTCACACCAGTGAATTCGTGTAGTCACTGGGGTTGTTTTGTTGGGCTAAAGTGAATTCGTGTAGTCACTTTAGTTAGTGAATTTGTGTAGTCACCCGAGTTTTATTTGAGTTCGGACCAGGCCGAAATCGGATTGCGTGTACTCCTCACACTGATTCATGTAGCGATATTGGATGCACGTAAAGGATTCATGAACAGTCATTTATCCGAGAATATGAACATTGACTCTATGTGAGATATGGACCAATGAGCTATTATAGGATGGTTAGTTACATGAGCTTGTTGCTTAGATGATTATGGATTCTCGTGAGATGTGGACTAGTTATATTTCTTTTCATACATAGATCGGGATTAATGTTTAATTATATACAATGTGAGACATATAATATATACATGAGAGTTTTGTTGTTTGGATTATTTCGCTTGACGTACTACGTTTCGTATTGTAGATTTTTAAGTATTAATTCCTTCTAGTTGTATGATCTTGTTACTCAGATGTTTATGGATATTATACTCTAGCGGTGGATTGCATTTTGATTTATTAGATTTCCAATTGCACGTTTTATTTCATTTCTGTTGTTGCATCGGTTTTTTCCTTGGTCATTCGATCGTTACTATTTTTCCCTTGTGGGATCTTGTCGTATGCCATGCACGGTGATGTACACCTGTTTTTTATAGTGTACGTTAGACTTAGAGGAAGGACATGTTCAGCTTGGAGACACACCAGAGCCCGAGTATCCTCAGCAGGAGTGCTTTGTAGACAGAGCAGCAGAAGAAGTCGAAGCCTAGTTTTTCTTTTATTAGTTGATGGTCCTAGTTTACTTTTGTAGTTCTTTCTATTTTTGTGATCGATGTATTATATATCTCTTCAGCATTCAGTTGGATAGTTTTGTAATAAGGGCATTAATGCGGCATAATTATGTACCAAAAATTGCAAGTGCACAATTTATCAAGTTATAGTATAAAAAGATATCGATCCCACGAAGAAGGTGATTTTAAGAGATTATTAAACTTGGTTCTTATATTTTGTGCATGACAATTAGGAATAAAGAGTGATTGTTATGAATATATGCAAAAGATAATAAATTGAATTTTAGAGGAGAGAAGGAAGAATTAAAGAATAAATGAAATCATAAGGCAAGAAATATGAATTAATAAAATCAAGAAATAAAACCAAAAATGAAAAGAAAATTTAAGAAAGTTAAGATGAAGGATTCAAAAGAGGTAAGAAATCTAGAATATAATCCACTAACCAATTTCAATTACAAAATATAAACTATTCTCTTTTTATCATATTTCAACTTAGATTTATTAAGCATAGATTATCAAACCATTTAAGGAAAGTGTAACCTATCAAATTATCATCTAAGTCAAAATTACTATTCATGATAAGAACAACAACATGATAATAATCCTAGAATTCATAAGCATAACCTATCAAACCATTTAAGATAAGCATAGATTATCAAATTCTTCTTCTACCGATTAGTTCTCTAGTTGATTATCCTAAACATGAACATTTTAAATACAAGAGAATAATTCATACAATATAAAGGAAATTAGACTAGTTTCATATAATTCTAAACTTCCTACAAGAATTAAATTCACATCTTAAGAAATAAAAACAAGAAAAAGAAGACTAATTACAAAATTAAAAAGAAAAGAAAAATCTAAACTATGAACAAGAAATAAATCTAATTACAAAGAAAATAAAAATCTAAACTACAAAATAAATTGCAGAAATTAAATGCAAGAAAAATAAATCTACTCTACAAATTAAAGTGCAAAAAGAAAATAAAAAAGACAAGAAAGTAAATCTACACTACAAGCATGAATTTAAATCTAACTAATAAGCAATAATAAAGAAATTACTAAAAAGAAATAAAAGAGAAAAGAAATGCAAACCTTCAAATTGCTCTTCATCTCCATCCTCATCATTCAACAAAGAGGAGAAAGAACAAATTTAAAGAGGAAAAAATTATTTTTATTAATTGCAACTAAAGTTACAATTTTTGGAAGGCAATATAATAAACAACTCAGAACCAAAAGATACATATCACAACTGAAATGATCATCCAGACATAATATTCGGGCCAAACATGCCCTTATACAAACTATCTGAATGAAATACTGGAGAATATAAAATACAATGATCAGGCGGAAAAGGAAATGCTACGAAAATAAACTGAAAGGAATAACTGAACTTCAACTCTTCTTCTGCTTCGTCTACAAGACACTCCTACTGAGAATACTCGGCTTTGGCGCATCTCCAAGCTGAACCTGTTCTTCTTCTAAGTCTGACGTACACCAGAGAAAACAGAGCTCTGGGGCATCTCCAAGCTGAACCTGTTCTTCTTCTAAGTCTGACGTACACCAGAGAAAACAGGTGTACGTCAGGGTGCATGGCACTCGGTAAGATCCCAAAAGGAAGAATAGAACGGTCGTGCGACTAATGCGATAATGGTAATAACAATGGAAACGTGCAACTGACATACTAATAATCTAAATATAATTTACTACTAGAATAGAATAATCATAATAAATCCCAGGAAATCAACCAAGTAACAAGTCGATCATGCAGCTAGCGATCAGAATAATCATCCAAGTACAGACTAATCATCCAAGTAACGAGATCATACTACTAGCCATTGTATAACAGGTCACTGGTCACATCTCACACAGAGCCAACACTCATATCACCGGATAACTGACTGTTCACAAATCCCCTACGTGCATCCAAACCCGCGAAACGGTTTGGTGAGAGGACTACACGTAATCCGATATCGGCCTGGTTCGAACTCAAGCAAAACTCGGGTGACGAAACGATTTCACTAACCAAGTGCGAAACGGTTCACTTGGCCCAACAAACTAACCCCAGTGCGAAACGGTTCACTGGTTCTAGTCTGGAAGATACATCAACAGTCTTATCCGATCACATGAACATTAACTTCCCCATCCCAACTCTCTTGTTTTTCTAAGCTAACATATACACAGGTTTCTAAGTCTTAAACAGGACACACCAGGCCACACTAGTCATGAATTTCTAATGGTTCTCAAGCATAACAAAGAGTAATAAATACAACTAATCATATACAACAAGATCATAACACATCACATAATTAAAATTAAGAAACATAAATCATGAAAAATTCATAATAATCCCTTTTCTAAAATAAATCCTTTAAATTTATTTATAAATGTTCTAAAATAATTCCTTTTATAAAACCCTCTTAATGAAATTATTCTAAATTGATACTTATTCTAAAATATTGATAATTATTCTAAAATAAATTCCTTTAAATTATTTACAATTATTCTAAAATAATTCTTTTGTCAAATAAATTCTATTAATTTATTATAATTACTCTAAAATGATTTTTCACCAAAATAGTAATTATTTTAAATTGATTATTTTGTCAAATAAATTCTTTAAAATTATAAAATATTCTAAAATAATTTTATTTTATTTTATCTTTACAGTATCTATTATCACAAAATTATTTTTAATATCATTCGTTAAATAAATCCGTACAGGTCATCATCGTATATGTATTACAATGTGAATGGTCATACGTTATTGTCCACAGTCCGTTTCGTTCACGACAGTTCTATACGTTATAGTTCTCAGTCCAATATGTTCACGACAGTCCCGTATTTGTAACGAATAATTATTCGGGTAACGAGTTCGTATGCATAATTAATCTGTGATCAATCTAAAATTGTACTGAGCAAGAATAGGGATCTTGCAAGTCACAGCGAGCCTATGAATTGAATGACAAATCAAGAGAGTATCGGGATCTTGCCTAAGAGACCAGGGGGTCTGATGATGATGCGACGGCGCTACGGGGGAGTTGGACAGCGACTCGCTGCAGATGGATCTGGACTGAGGGGGTAGCGGCAGCAAGCTCCAGGTGTGGCAACGACGAAGCAACGTCACTACTGGTGGTGCGACAGCTGAGAGATGGGGCTGCAGCGGGTGGTTCTCGACGCGGGGAGAGGCTTACGGCGAGGTGCTGGGCAGAGGGTCGACGAGGAGGCTCGGCGACGGAGGTGGTTGAGCGAGCTGGGAAACAAAGGGGGGGGATCTCGTGGTGATGGAGCGGCAGTTGGGGAGCTCGGCGGCAAAAGGAGGAGGTGGTGGCGTTGGTGCGGTGTTGATGGGGAGCACGACAGCGGGGTGGGGCGTCGTCGACGGCGATGGGCGAGGGGGTTGCTGGTCAGAGCTCGAGGCGGAGCTGCTGGGGTGGTGCTTACGGCGGCTGTTGGCTGTCGGCGACGAGCAAGGAAGGCGGAGGGGAGGACTGGCGGGTTCTCGGAGAGAAGAGGGAGGTGGAGGAGGCAGGTGGTTGAGCGCGGCCAGATCTGAGGGTTCGGGGGTTGGAGCGGCACGAGCGAGGGTGGCTGCCGGAGGAGAGCGGCGGCGGAGAGCGGCGCTGGCAGAGCTCAGGGGTGCTCGAGCGTGGGCTCAGCGCGAAGGCGGGTCAGAGGCGAAACGAAGAGGAGAGAGAGAAAGAAGAGGAGAGAAGTGAGGTTGTGTGCGAGAGAGATGTGAGAGCGCCTTTAAATAGAAAAAAAAATAATAAAAAAATTAAAAATAAAATAAAATACTGAGGGATGATGCGCGTGATCAGCGTTTTGAAAAATGCGGAGGAGAGAACGGGGTTGTTGGGATTTCGGGAAGCAAGAATAATTTTGGAATATTTTCAAATATTCAGGTATTTAAACGAAAATAAATTAAAATAATAATTTCGGTACTTAAAAATTAAACTAATTTAACATAATTTCTCTAACATAAAAACGTACTGTTGACCTAATACAACAGTTGATACGAACTGTCGAAATATACCCATATTGTACAATTAAACGAGAATAAATATATAAAAAATATATTTACTTACATTTAAAACAAATAATTATGTGATAATTATCTACCGATAAAACGTACCAGTTATGCTAATACGTAATAATTAAAAATAATACAATAATTTACACAAATAATCATAATTAATAATTCAACATAATACAAGAATTAATACGTAATAGTAATAATAATAGACGTATCATTTAAAATAATACGTAATAGTATCAGTAATTCAACGGCTAAATCCCGAATTTTCATTACACTAAATTAATTTATAAATATCAAAATCATTTAAATAAATATATAATCAGATTTTTAAATCATAGAAAATTCTAGAAAATCGAGAAAAATACAATACTCTTTTAAAAATAATATTTTAAAATACCAAAAATTTATTTTAACTAGTATCAAAATTTTACGGTCATTACAAGGAATAAAAGAGAAAAGAAATGCAAACATTTAAATTGCTCTTCATCTCCATCCTCATCATTCAACAAGAGGAGAAAGAACAAATTTAAAGAGGAAAAATTATTATTATTAATTGCAACTAAAGTTACAATTTTTGGAAGGCCTTCTCAATTAAGAGTAGCCCTCCTCTCCAAAAAGAGTTTACAAAATTTTCACACAATTTTCACACCTCTAACCCCTCACTCTCTACCCCTATTTATAGTAAACATCAGTGAATGAGAGCCATTGGATTGAAATCTTATCCAAAAACAACAAATTTCAGCCTTAGATTCGTAACAAACTGCCCAGCGTATCGATGCAGGCATCGATACAGGCATCGATGCAGGCATCGATGTCGGTATCGATGCAGGCATCGATGCCGCCATCGATGCAGGCATCGATGCCTGCCCTTCTCCTTTTGCTGTCCGCAGAGTTCCTCTTCTATTGGCTTTTGGACTTGGATTTTGGGCTTTTGCTTGGACTTTTCTTGGACTCTTGGGCTTCATGGCTTCATTTCTTCATTAAATTATGAGCTTTTTGTTGAGAGATGAGGGTTTTGAGATTTATTCTTCATTAACCTGCAATTAAAGATAAAAACAATTATTAGTAGGATATTTATTCATATAAAATAGATAATGAGGGTATAAAATTGTAATAAAATGTGATTATCAGGCATGTTTGACCCAAACTTTGTGTCTCGGATGTTATCTCATTTGTGATATGACCTTTTTATTCTGAGTTGTTCATTATATTCTTGGTAATTGTGATCGGGGACCTGTGACTTCGCATTGTATATTGCTTGACGCTTAGCGTATTAGGTTGAGAAGAAATAATTTTTATTTATTTTCCTCAATCTAATACGTCACGGGCTTGTTCACGTTCCGATTCCTTGGTATTTTGGGACGCATGGTGTGATAGGTTTTTTGGTGGCTCATGCAGGTCACGGTCCCGAGTTTCTACCAGTGAGAATATAATGAACAATTTTGATGCATATCATATTTCATTCGTAAGACTATAGTTAGCCCTTATCCTATCATCTCGATGAGTTATGTCTTAGTCCCTACCTTATCACTTTTTGACTCTGGAACTTTCCACTGTTTCTTGTCTCGTCACTTTCGGACTCCACTCTCTTTGTACAACTTCTCTTTTCTCATACCGGTCATTATTTTATGTGTTATTATTTTACACTATGTTTTCTTTGATTTGACTTATGTATCGTTTGATTGTATTGATTTCTACATTATTTATTACATTATTTTATGTATCACACACGGTGTAATATTATATGTTTTTCATTAAAAATATATAATTAACATAGTCTAAGGAAAATCATTACTTATACATTTTCAATTGTTCAAATCATGTTCATTAAGTGTTTCGCATTATTCTAGACTTCATATATACATCACATAGCATATCTGATATTCAAATTATTTTTTGTGTTTAAATATATTTTTCACATATCTAAAATGTGTATGTGTGCACTTTTTCTTTCATACTATCTATTATTTAATTATGTTTTAGATTAATATATATTGTTCGTATTTTTAGTAATATACTTTAATAAGTTCATGATTTTAGTATTCTACAAAAGCATTACATTCTTATTCTTTTTTTTTCAACTCACAATATTTTCAGTACATAGTTATCTTATCAGTCAGTTTTATCTTGTTAGGTTGTTTTAGTTTGTTCACATTGGTTTTATTATTTCTAAGAGCAATGTATTTCTATTTTGATATTCAAACAATTATTCATATTGTTAGGTTTGGAGTTTGAGTTACTAATTATATAGTTTTTGTTACACTATCTCGTATCAATGAATACTATTCCTTTATAACTAATATAAAAGATTATTCTACATAGCATTTGTGGGTATGTATAGTATTTACCATTGAGTTGTTTATAGTGTAATTGCATATTTGTTGTTGTTTGCTTCGTTTTCGATATGTATTGTTTTGTCATTGTGACAATATATATTGTATACGCGTGTTATTTTTTAGTATTTATTTTATTAGATTTTTGTGTCTTTTATTATGTTATTAGTTGTTATTCATTCTCTATTCATTATTTTCGTTTACTTGTGTTATGTTTTACTTTTTCATTATTTTTATATTTACTATTCTCTTTTTCATTATAGTGTATTCACGTATATTATTATATTTATGATGTATATTTTTATTGATTTATAATCATTCATTATTTTTAGAATCAACTTTGTCTAATCGTGTTCTATTTCATGTATTATCAGTGTTTATGTTCATTCATCAATCATTCATGGTATGTTTATTTACAATATCTCGGTGTTTTTATTATACGAATTTATGTCCTTCTTATGTTTTTATTTGTTTATAAATCTATTTTATCTTCCATAGTTCATGTTTTATGTATTATACATCTTTATTTGTATATATTTACGTTGATTGTAATTATGTGACTTTTACTACTATGTCATATATTGCTACATCTGAATTAATATTATACAATAATAATTATTGTTGTTATATCTTATTATATTTATTATTTTACCTTATGAAAATTACTAATATGTCTGATTTGTTATATTGTTTGTCGAATACATAGATAATTATGTCCTTATTATGTTTTATATAATATGCCTATTTTGAATCGCTTGTTTACTCTTACGTCTATTTTTATCATATATATTTTATGACTATTTCCATCATAACTTATCTTGTTAGCATGATTAGTACTATGAGTATTCAGATTTTTATGTGCTTATTATTATGTTTATGTTTTCAATTTTAACACTTATTATACATGATGATCATATTTACTATATTCAATAAACATGTTTAATATTGATTTAGTATTGTATTTTGTATGATAATTATTTACTACCATACGCTCTCAAAAATTATTGATCATAACTACAACTATTTTTATTGAAATTAGCATCATGTTCTGTCTTTACTGTTTGTTATTTTATTATTATTATATATATTTTTTCTTACGTGCGTTTATGTTTTGATTGCTTTTAATATATGTTGCCATAATACTATCTTTGAACCTTTTTAATACAATTGCAAATTTTTTTTGGAATTTCTGTCTTACATGTATTATTTGGTTGAATGTGATTTGCTGATTGTATTCATGTGTTAATTTGTAATTATACTTTTGTATATCTTGAATTTCTATTCTACTAACTGATTGTATGATATTTCTATTGTGATTTTATTTTTTTCTTGTCTCTTTATGTTGTCTATTATGTTATCTAAACTATATGTATGTTTGATTATTTGCTATTTTGTTTTGCTTATATACTCTTCAAATATTTCTTTTGCTTTTACTTGTATATAATTCATTTGTTAATTTTACTGTGTTTTTGTTTTATATTTTTGTGTTTATCATGTTTACCATCTGCTTATGTATGAATGATTTATATTTTGTTGAGATCTTTTTATCTTTTATCTTCTTTATGTTCTTCTTTTAATTATTTATATTGTTGAGTTGATATACTTTATTATATATTCTAGTGATTGATAATTGTTTGAATTACATATTTATATTTCATATTATATTTTTGTATGTTATAGATTTATTCTATTTTGCCAAATCTGTATTATTGATTATATATTCACACTGTGACATGTTGTCTTATGATACTATATCATTAATATCATGTTGATATTATATTTTTCTATAATTGTATATTCATTATTGACTTCTTTGTTGTTAAACTATGTTGACTGATACTGATATTTTTGCCTATGCCTAGATGTTGTGTTATTTTATAATTTGATACGTGTCGACTATTTTATTTACTATATACATGCTTCTTTATACCTGTTTAATCTTTTTTCAATATATATTCACTTTCTTTATGTTATACTTACATCATTCTTATTATTTATACTACATACCAAACTTTCTTATGACCTTATGTTATATTTATTCCCTTGATAATTTACGTGTTTTTTATGCTTCTGCTTTATCATTATTCCTGTTTATTTTATATCCTCTGACTATACATTATTGATTTATACGATATGCATTTTACTATTAACTGTTATCATCATATTCTGCTTGTTTGACTTTGTATTTGACTTGCCCGTATAACTTATATTTGATATTGATGCCTAATGCATTCTCATAACATGTTTCATGCCTTATATATACAATATGTGAGTTTACATTCATATTTTTCTCATCTTCTTTATTTATAGAATATTATATCTAAATGATGCTTTATATAAAATATTT